CCGGCGCCGACGGTTGGCGACCGCGTTTTTCCATGCGCAGGTCAACAATTCAATTGCGTGTGCGTCGCCCCAGAAGACGGACAGACGAATGGATTGTTTTATTGTGAAGAAGCGCTACTGGCGCACTGTCAAGGATTGCGAGTCTACTTGCGAAGTAGATAAGGGATCTGACCACTGCGCCCTGAGATTGTCACGCGCTTTCACGCCAACCGGCCACGCCATGCCAACAACAGGCGCGCAGCAACGCGGCCGGCGACACCCCCGACCAGCAAGGCCACCCATTAACACGCAACACTACGAACGTGAATTTTCCGACTCACTCGAAGTATTGCTGCAAGAAACGAGGTTGCATTTACAATGGGAACGCATTGAGCAATTAATCCGCGGTGTCTTGTTACAGTTGCAGCCCGCGGCCAACGTGCGCCGCCGAAACAAACTCCCAACAAGCGACGCACTTACGAGACTGCTTCAACAACGACGTGAGACACCGACTCACGATACGACGTCGCGCCACAATATCAACGCAGACATCCGAAGTGAGATCCGGGCCATAAAAAAGAGCGGCTCGGAGGTCAACAATTGAGCGGATCTTGTCGGAATGCAGACGGCAAGAAGTTCATCGATGGAGTGAAGAGCATCGAGAAACGCACCTTCGTCGCGAGCATGACAGCCAAGGATGGAACGACGGAACACAAACGTCAAGCCATAGCAGACGCCGTTGCGACATTATACGAGGACTTGCGCAATGATAGCACATGCAGCAACAGTTCCGACAGCAGCAGTGACAAGCGCGAGCACCAATGCGCAATTGCACCAGTCACGCGTGACGAACTGAAGACGGGCTTGCGACAGCTACGATCCAGCAGGGCTGCCGATTCTTATGAGAAGTCTGCGGAGATGCTGAAATCAGGATGGGGCGCGCTTCGATCCGTGCTTCTCGACGTGTAAAACAGTATCATCACGCCCTGTTCTCCGGCGCCAGCCACATGGTACCACACAGTATTGAAGGTCCCTCACAAGAGCGGAGGCCATCAGCAACCAAAGAATTTCCGACCGATTGCGAGCATACCGATGTTGTACAAGCTCTTCTCGCGATTTCTTCCCAATCGCCCGCGTCCACTCCTCGACAGCCACCAAAGCACAGTTCAAGCGGGAGTCAGACCTCACCGCAGCACCACTGACCACCTGTTCACGACAGCTATACTCCAAGACACTACAGACGAATGGCAAATTCCCACGTGGTGCGCAGCAGTTGATTTCAATGAAGCCTTTGACAGCATCGCGCACACACGCATGTGGGAAGCATTGCAAAAACAGAACGCGCTCAGATGGCACATTCGATAGCTCTTTACCTTGTGCCAAGACCACACTGCGTCAGTTCATATTGACCGGACTAGCAGAGCGTTCAGTGTTTTAAAAGGCACGAATCAAGGCGATGCCCTCAGGTCATAGCCTGTCAACTGCGCGTCGGCAAGTATCACGAGACGGGCCGAAAGCAAATGAGCGCACCCAAGATACGGATTCAGACGGCAGCGGCACGCGAACGACAGGCTCACCAGCCTGCGTTTTGCAGACGACATCCTTCTGCTTGCAGGGGGGCGCAACCACCTCGCCCACATGCAGCCCGACTCGGCCATCGAAGCCGGCAGGGCAGGCCTGGGGCTGCACCCAGACAAAACGAACATCATACGCAACGGTCACCGACCGCCGCGCGGGAGACGAGCCCCTGGCTGCGCGACGGCTCTCGGCGTGAAACCTGAGGTCCCACCGCCTTGCAAGGCAACGGAATACCTCGGAAGACAACTCCAGCACGTCGCGCCCCTCGCCAGCGAGGTTGAACATCGCGTCGCCGCGGCTTGGCGGAACTTCCACGAGCTCGAGCGGGAGTTGTGCGGACCGACGCGCTCACAATTTGACCGACTCCGCCTCTTCAACGGCGCAATCGCGCCAACTATCTTGTGCTGTTGCGAAGCATGGGCTCTCACCACCGACTTGGAAAACAGACTCCGACGGACACAACGACAAACGCTTCGCATGATTGTGCGAGTACCCCGGCGAACCACGTCGAGCGCGCGCCCAACGACTGCGACAGACACGAACAACGCCAGCGTAGACAACCGGCGCGACGACGACCATCACGACCATGACGACGACGGATGTGACGTCGACAGCGCGCCGCCGGATCCAACGCCAGATGTCCATGGCGACGATGATGCGACAGATATATTGGAACCTTGGGTCGAATGGATCCAACGAGCAACCCGCAAGGCAGAGGCGGCCATTGCAAAACTACACATCAATGACTGGCCCGCTACGGCACGTCAGCGCAAGTGGCGTTGGGTACAGGAAATATGCAGAATTGTTGAACGAGAGTGGATACGGCAATTATTTCAATGGGCTCCACAATTGGATCCAGCGTATGATGCTAAGCGCAGGGCTGGCAGGCCCAAGTCGAGATGGATTCACGGCATACGACGTTTTCTTTGCAACGAAAATGGGTGTGACGACATTGATCTTTTAGACATTTTGAACATCGCGTCAACGGATGATTGGGACACCATCGGGCTTGCGTATGTTGCACACCAAGCATAAGACATGAGCGGGATGCGAAACCTGGGTAGTATTCCGGCGCCCCGGTGCCGCACCCGCAGCATTCTGGATGGTGCACATTCGCGGGAGTGAGTGAGTGAGTGAGTGAGTGAGTGAGTGAGTGAGTGAGTGTGTGATGTTGACGATGGTCATGGCGATGATGATACGATGATGATGTTGATGTTGACGATGATGATGATGATGATGATGATGATGATGATGATGGTGATGATGATGATGATGATGATGGTGATGATGATGATGATGATGATGATGATGATGATGATGATAATGATGATGATGATGATGATGATGATGATGATGATGATGATGATGATGGTGGTGGTGGTGGTGGTGACGATGATGTTGCTGCTGATGATGATGACGCCCCGTCGCTGAGTGAAGGTTTCGGGTCATGTCCCGCCCACCTGAACGGCGTCTTCGGTGGTTTCTGTGGTTGTGATATTTTGTACCCAACCCCGTCGCATCACAGAGTGAAGGTTGCATTGAAGTTTCCGCCTGCCCGCCCGACTGAACTCCCAATCATTGAGTGAATGGTACATGTAATGTCCCGCCCACCCGAACGGCGTCTCCGGTGGTTGTGACACATTTTCCCCCAATATTTGCCCATCGCCGAGTGAAGGTTAGAATCCATGTCCCACCCGTCGCCGTTTCCGTCGTCGTCGTCGTCGTCAGCAGCAGCTCAAACAACGCTCAAGCAAAGCTCAAATCCCGGGAAACAAGGCGGGGGGGATCTCCAGTCCAGCGAGACGGCAGGTCGCGCTCCCTCCAACGGTTCGTGTGCGGAGAGCAGAGGCAGTGACAGGGGGGAGGGAGGAGGGTGGGAGGGAGGATGAGGGAGGAGGAGGAGGAGGAGGAGGAGGAGGAGGAGGAGGAGGAGGAGGAGGTGGACGCGAGGCACTGCCTTTTCAAAGCGATCGCTCAACACCGCAGGATGGCGGGGAAAAGCTTATCCGTCGGAGGTCTGGGGAGGGCATGGGCCCCAGGGGATGCCGAGAGTCAGCTCTGCGATCTCGCTCTCAAGTGGTGGCCGTCACAGGCGGCAGAGTCGGTGTGTCTGTGAGGCTCCCATGTGGCGACGCTCTCTGGGCCTCGGGGGCTTCCAGCAGGGGAGACCGCACATGTGTTCTGCGCACTCGCCCTCGAGGGCGAGGGCGCAGAGCAGCGTCTTGTCTTGGGAGCAGTGTCTCGAGTCGCCATGAGTTCTCCTTTGTCTCTTGAGAGCAGTGTCTCTCACGAGCTCGGTTTTCACTGCATCATGGCCTTGCAGCACTGCCTGCGGCGGCTGGCCGATTTTCCTCCACCGCCTCCTCTCCTCTTCCTCCTCCAACTCCTTCTCCTCCTCCTCCTCCTCCTCCTCCTCCTCCTCCTCCCCCTCCTCCTCCTCCCCCTCCTCCTCGACCCTCTTCGACCATCCCCCTCTTCGACCAGGCGCGCCGTGGTCGAAGGCCAGGGCGGCAGCAGCCTCTGGACGGGAGAGCGGCCGCTGAACACGACCTTGCGGGGCGACAGGAGGCCATGTTCGGCTGGGTCGAGTTCGGGTCGGAGATGCGCCGGGCCGCCCAGATGGGGGGGGTGGCTTCAAAGGCGGCGGGGGGCGGGCCCTCGGGAGCCCAAGGCCCGGGTGGCCCTCCGCGGGGGATCTCCCGGAGCCCGCTGGGCGGCGCGCGCGCGCGCCAGCGGCCCCGCCCCGGGCAGCCTCCGACGTGACTTCTTCGATCCGCGTTGCCCCTGCACTGGGATCGCCCTCGGCGGTTGCTAAGTGGATAGGGGGGTTACAGGTGGATGCCAAGGTGGGTTCTACCCGGCCGACCCTGGCTTAGAAGTAGGCCACAGACGCCCCAAATGGCTCAGGGGGGTCTCCGGGCTCAGTGGGCTCCGCCCACTTCACGGAGTGATCTAACCCCCCTGTAGGGCACTCGGGGAATTGGTGCGACCCGCTTACAAGCCAGGTTGGGCATCCCCCCAACATACTTATATTATGTGTTCGTCGCCCCCCCAGGGGCGACGCGCGCACCGAGAAATCTTGTAGTATATGCGTCGTGGCGGGCGCTTTCTGGCCACACCGCTCGAGAAACGATATACTACAAGATGGGTATACTATATGTTCGGGTCGGACGCGCGCCTCCAAGGCGGACATATAGTATTACTATGTCTCTGTGCGTTCCATATTACCCACCTTGGCATCCACTTGCAACCCCGTATCTGCGTAGCACCCCCCAACGGTTCTCCCAGCAGAGGTCCCGGCCCCCTCCCCGGGGGGCGGCTCCGCGCCCCGGATCCGTTTTGGATGGTCCTACAAGGCCCGACAACGAGGAGGAGGAGGAGGAGGAGGAGGAGGAGGAGGAGGGATAGAAAAGGTCGTCTCGTCTGAGATCTCTGGCGCCGAGGCGACGCAGAACGTGCAGTACCGCGAGACGCTCTCCGGCGCCGCCGCCGAGCTCGCCCGCGCCTTCCCGGGGCCGTGCGCGCCGCTGGCGTCCGCGGCGCAGGCGCGGCTGGCCGAGGCGCGGCGCGTGGCGGACACGGAGGACGGCCGCGCCCGCGAGGGGTCGTCGGGGTTCAAGGGACGGCGGTCAACACAACAGAGCCCCCCTCCTCCTCCTCCCCCTCCTTCTTCTCCTCCTCTTCTCCTCCTCCTCCTCCTCCCTCTTCTCCTCCTCCTCCTCCTCCTCCTCCTCCTCCTCCTCCTCCTCCTCCCCTCTTCCTCCTCCTCCTCCTCCTCCTCCTCATCCTCATCCTCATCCTCATCCTCATCCTCATCCTCCTCTCTCCTCCTCCTTTGCTCCAGGGAGCGCACAGCAGGGGCTGCGGCGAGAGGGGTCGGGGCTCAAGGGACGGGGGTCAGTGCAAACGGGGGTCAGTCAGAGCGCCAGATCTTGCAGGATCCTGCAGAGCCAGGGTTGCATTGACCCGGGTTTGAGTGCAGGATCCTGCAAGGCCCGACTGATTCGGGTCTGGATTGACCCGGGTCAGCAGGCCCCCGAGAGAGGTCGGGCGGGTGGCGATGGGGAGCTTACCAGCCTGGAACATACGCTCGGACCGAGGTATAATATTCGAAAGAGGAAACGCGGCGTAAACATAAACTTTTGGTTTTCCGCGCGGATTTCTTGGATCTGCTTTGGGAACCCCCCCAGCGCCGCCCCTGGCGCGCTCCGCGCGGCTGGGAGGGGGTTTTGGCGCAGACCCAAGAAATCCGCGCGGAGCGCCAATAGTTCATGTTGTTTTTTTCATGTTCAAAAGATCGAGGTCGGTTCGGGGAGGGTGCCGTGATGTTTTTTGTGTTTGTTAGATGTTCTTGTGCACCCCGGGCAGGGTATCCTTGCATATTCTCTGTGTGTGTGTGTGTGTGTGTTTGTGTCTGTGTGTGTGTGTTTGGCCTGTGGAGGGTCTCATGTTCTTGAGGGATGTTCTTCTGTCCTAGGTCCGGCTGTATCCCGATCCCTATGATTGGCGTCGCCTCATCTCTATGGCAGTCTCAAGGATTCCCTTCGTTTCTGAGGGCGCATCCCTCAGATTGTCATCGACTCTTCTTGTCGCATTGGGTTTTTGGCCTCGGAGATCGGAGGAGGACAAGGTAACCATACCGCTACCCTTCCCTCGTCTTCCCTTTCCCAGGAGGCCCTCGTCGCCACCGCTGGACTCGCGTGGACATTCTGTGCAGAACGCACCCCAGGAGAGGTCTTTGGGAGCAGCGGCTCGCACAACTGGTCAGTCCAGGATGTCGCCTGGGAGTCGGACGGGGCTAGGGCGAGGATACATCCGTTCCACAAAGGTCCAGATCGAAACGCTTTGAGAAGGCCGCGGCGCCCGATACATCGTCTAGAGCCGCCGGATCTTCGAGATTCTCGATTTTCGGCGGCGAGCGATGGGGGTGCGTGAGAAGAAGACGGCCTTCTCGGAAGGCGGCGGGACTTGTCCAGAGCCCTCGCGCCTTTGAGAAGTGTTTCCTGCGTCTCCGGGACAGGCTCAGGACAACTTCTCAGACGGCTGGGGGGGGACTTCCGAGCCTTCCGAGACAAGGCCCGCCCTTTCTCACTTCCCCCCCCGGGCTCGCCGCCGACGTTTGTCAGTATCGTTTAACCGATCCCCATCCCCCCCCCCATTCCCTTCGAGACCCCCACCAAATTACCACCCCAGTTGGGGATACTCCCCTCGATTCCCGAATGGAGCGACCTGTATCCCCATCTAGGGGGGTAGATCGGCCAGCGGGGCCCAGCCCACGCTGGTGGGGATGGGGATCGGTTCAACGATACTCAATTTGCCCTCACCCGAATCTTTGTTCTCGTCCTGGCTTCGTCTTACTCGGGGCCCGAAGTCCTGTGCTCTAGGCCTCCTAGATGGGGTCGTAGTAGACGGGGCCAGAGGGTCGCGCCGCATCGCCGATGCATCGGCGATACGGCTCGATGTGGGGCCCATGTGTCTCCACGCCCACGTCGCCGATGCATCGCCGACGTCGCCAGTGCATCGGCGATGCAGCAAGCTTCTCCGACCCCATCTACTCGGACCCCATCTTGGAGGCCCATATGTTTATGATGTTCCAACCTATTTTAACCTGGACCACCAGGACTAATTTCGAACATCAGAAACATGTACCGAAACTCGAGGGTTTTCAAGTGCCGGGCCCTCGGAGACACTCGTCCGACACTGTTTCGGCACTCTTTCGACACTTTTCCTCCGGGTTCTCGAACAACTATTTCTGGGACGTGGTCCTCAGGTGCGATGGGAGCAACATACCCATCGGTCGTTGAAAGTAGGTATTTTTGGATTCCCAGATTCCAATCTACTTTCAGCGCCTTCCTACTTCAAGAGTCGAGTGGAGTTCCCTCTTCCTTCCTCTTCAGGAGGCGTGCGGAAACCCAATATATTTCCAACGCCTTCCTACTTGATGTTTCTTCCTACACCTTCGGCGATGCTTAAGAAAACCTAAGTTTTCGGCCAGAGTCTTGATTATTCTCAACTTGCCAATGTAAATCCAAAGATTTTGATAGAAGTTCTGGGTTTTTCTTCCAGTCCTGAGACTCTGGATTTCTTAACCCATGGTTTCTTAAGCATTTCGCAGGGTGTACTTCTTCCGACCGATGGCATCAACCCCGTGTGCAAAGGGCGGGCGCTCGGCGGGCTCTCTCCGCGCCGCTGCTCGGCGCGGAGGCGCCGGCTCTCGGCCCCAGGGGGCGCTGCGGGCGGGGGCCGCCCACCCTCCCTCGGGGCCTCGGGGCCTCGGGGCCCTCGGGGGCTGGGCGCCTCGAGGCGGGGGCTCGTCCTCCTCCTCCTCCTCCTCCTCCTCCTCCTCCTCTTCCTCCTCCTCCCCCTCCTCCTCCTCCTCTCTCCTCTTCCTCATCCTTCTCCTCCTCCTCCCTCCTCCTCCTCCTCCTCTCCTCCTCCTCCTCTCCTCCTCCTCCTCCTCCTCCTCCTCCTCCTCCTCCTCCTCCTCCTCCTCCTCCTCCTCCTCCTCCTCCTCCTCCTCCTCCTCCTCCTCCTCCTCCTCCTCCTCCTCCTCTCTCCTCTTCCTCCTCCTTCTCCTCCTCCTCCTCCTCCTCCTCCTCCTCCTCCTCCCTCCTCCTCTTCCTCCTCCTCCTCCTCCTCCTCCTCCTCCTCCTCTCCTCCTCTCTCTCCTCCTCCTCCCTCCTCCTCCTCCTCCTCCTCCTCCTCCCTCCTCCTCCTCCTGCCCTTGTTTTCTAAACGTGTTTGCCCTTGCCCCGCAGGACCAGGCCGACGCGATGCCGTTGCCATCGCCTCTGCTCAAGCTTGAAAGGCGGCCACCACCAGAGACCTGCATGCTGCCAAGTTTTTCTGCCTTCCCTGGCTTGCTCGCGCGCGCGGGCAACTGGGCAGCATCCCTCGGGCCAGCCGTCGAGGTTGCCCGGCAGTGCTTCTTCCAGAGCCAGGTCGCGGACTACTTGGGCCTGGCTCTCTCCTTCGTGTTCTGCCTCGGGCTGCTGATCGGCTGCTCTCTGACCCTGTGCTGCCATGTCTGTCTTCAGAGCCGGGCGCCGAGTGGCCGTGCAGTGGCACCAGAGAGGATCGTGGGAGACCCGTATTCTGATCGCCCCGTGCGGCGCCGACGAGGCCAAGACCGAGGGCGACGTCGCCGCGACTCTAGCTCAGGAGAAAGCGGGGTTGATCTGGTACGCGTTGACCCCCGACCTGGACATTTATCCACACGTGTTCGAGGTCGGGGACGGGCTGCTGACTGGTATCGTGGCGTTCAGCAACGAGGGCCAGGTGATCGCGGGGAGCAACCATGGGAAGAAATGGTCAGCTCGGAGTGCGGCATACGGCGACGACTGGGATCCGACGCCCCTCGAGGTTATGGAGGCGTTGGAGTTCGTGCAGAGCCCGTCGCTGCCAGCCGACAAGTACAAGCGGTACCACGGCAAGCAGGCCCCCGCGCCCGTGACTGGGGCAGCAGCTCAAGCGACTGACTTCGAGTCGGGCAGGGACGAGCTGCCAGATGCGGGGCCGCCGGAGTGGTACGGGCTGACCTCTACCGACGGGAGTGCTGACAAGCAGAAGCTGAGCACGATCAAGGTGGACTCGTTCGTGCGGATGGGCGACTATGTGTTGGCGAGGCGCGGGGGGGCCCTGATCATCGCAGCCGCGGTGGATCCCTCAGCGCCTGGCCCAGAGTTCGAGCTGGACGCCCGCCTGCTGCCGATGACGCTTAGCGCGCAGCAGATTCGTCATCTTCCTTTCACGAAGGGGGTGAGCCAGCTGACGGAGACTTCTTGGACAGGTTGGCCCATCATGGGCCCTCGCACAGCGAAGTGGTGCGTAGATTTTCTTTCACAGCAGGACCAGCACCCTCGTGCTCGTCACACAAAGTGGGTGCACGAGGCCAACTTGGAGCCGTGGGACGAGGGCGTGCAGGATCACGACCTGGCGATGAGGATGTTCGAGATGGGCATTGTGTTCGACCAGGTGAACATCGCTGAGCACGCGGCCTACGAGCTTCTGGCCCGCCGTGCTCAGATGGCGGAGTGGCGTCATCGTGACAGGGTGCTGGGCCGATCTAAGGACGAGCTGTTCGACGACCAGTTTCTCTACATGGGAACGGGGGAGACCAGAGGCTTGCTGATGGTCTCCCCCGAGTTGCAGGAGCACATCAACTCCGAACTCCATCGCGAGGCGTCCATCCTCAAGGAAAAGCGGAAGGTGCGCGAGGAACGGGCTCTCGCTCGGGGCGGCGGAGGAGGTGGTGGTGGAGGCGGTGCAGGCGCTTCCAGCAAAGCCGAGCTTCAGAAGAAGGTGCAGCAGCAGGCAGCGGAGCTCAAGAAGTGGCAGAATGCCGCCACGGGCGGCAAGGCCGACGGCAAGGGCGGCAACTCATCCGGCCCAGGGGCGGCCGGGATGAAAGCTTGACTCGAGCATGCCCGTGCCGCGGGAGCTGTTCCCTGTGGACGGCGCCCGTGGCGCCCCCGTCGCCTCTCCAGGGGCGACGGGCTGCCGTGCTGTTCGGTCTCGAGCTCGGCGCCGCGGCTACATCGACAATTGGGTGCACGAGGCCTCCGAGAGCCTCAATCTTCTGGCT